GATCGGTAACGAGACCTTCTGGGCGGGAATCCGCTCCTACGTTGACTCCTTCATCCCCAACGCCGATGCAGGAACCTACTCCTACTTCACTCTAATCCCCAACATCTGGACCGGAATCTTCACCTTCAACATGAGCCCCTTCTTCGCACCCAACAAGACGCTCGAAGAAACCGAAGCCCTTCTAAACCCGTGGTTCACCCAACTCAAAGACCTAGGCATCGATTTCGACCCCAACATTACTCACTTCGACAACTACTACGACGCATGGCGCTCCTCGTTCCCGCTCGAAGTGGTCCAGAAGATCAACGCTACAACGGGGTCCCGCATGTTCCCGCGCGCCAACTTCCTAACTGCAGAAAAGCGCGAGGAACTGTACCTCAATCTCCGGAAATCCAGCGAAAACAACCGCGTACAGGTGCACTTCAACATCAAAGCCGTCGACCCCGCGAATGCAGACAACGCCGTGAACTCCGCTTGGCGCGAGAACATTCTCTTCGCACAGCAAGCGGTGCGCTGGCCCGTCAACGGGACCGCTGAGGAGACGTTGAGGATCAGGAAGGAGTTCCAAACGGGCGATATGCAAAGATGGAGGGATATCAGTCCTGGGGCGGGGAGTTATTTGGCTGAGGCAGATCGGCTGGAGCCGGATTTCGGGCAGGCGTTTTGGGGGAATAAGTATGAGAGGTTGGTGGAGTTGAAGGGGGAGTTGGATCCGTGGGATGTTTTCTTTGCAACGACGGGGGTGGGGAGTGAGAGGTGGAGGGTCGAGAGTGTGGATGGGTTGCCTAATGAGAATGGGAAGTTGTGTCGGGTGGAGTGAGCTATTCTGTTGTTCTTTTTTTGGTGTTGCTTATCTTCGATATTCTATTCCTGTAATGTCTTAGCTTAGTTGTAAAGAGTCTGTGAACAAGTAAAGTTTCATATTTGTTTATCAGAAACTGCAAGGGTCAAACTCTCCATCCGCACCACGCCTATATCATAGCACCACCATCCACCTCGCCAACCCCGTCCAGCTTCACCGACCTTTCAGCCTCACACACCCCTACCCCAACCTCAACTGCATTATCCAGCAAAAACGAGGCCCTAGTGCGAACCACACGCCCACCCCTTCCCCCATCCAGCCCCCGCTAAACCCAATCCAGACACGGGCCCAAGGCAGACGCATCAACCTCGGGCTGAGAGAATTCTGCGCGCGACGCGTTGCAATGGGGCCAGACGGCTAATGCCGCCTTTATCATTTCTTGCTTGAGATATGGCGAATAGGAAGGGCTCAATTGGGAGTCGCTTTGCCGCAACAAGGCGAGACGAGAGGCAAGAGGCGAACTGAACTGGGGGCTGGTTTAGAATTAGGGGGGTATTTAAGGCCTGAGCCGCCTTCTTGAATCTTCTTGGGAACGCCACCTTTCAAAAACTTTGATGGAAGTTGTATTTTCTTTTGCATGGGTAGGAATTGGGAAAGAGATCAGTGGTGAGATTATGGAATTCAGCTAATCTACCTGATCCATTAACTTTCCAGATGTATGTAGGCCATTTCCTCATTAATACAGCATTGAAAACCGAAAACGAAACCCGCCGCCTCGCTCTGCTGAATACCGGTCAAAACGCTGTCGATTTTTGACCTGAAAACTCCAAAGATGCCATCGTGTCCTCGTTATAACAACTTGGTGGAACACTTCCAAAGCAAAGCAAAGCCAAAAGAGGTATCAAGAGAAGGCAAGATGCAAAAAAGGTCAAAGTGGAGAAGTGGTCTGGTTGGGGAGAAATGAAGGCGCATGTCAAAAAGAAGCCGAAGCCAGATTGGACTGACTGGTGGAGGACGAATACGTTAAACCTTTCGTACCACCATGAGGTTTCCTTCACCGCGGATCGATGCAGTCTACCTCCTCCCGATATGTTGGGACCTCTGTCGCCGCCCGTCCCTTTCGCGCCGGCCATTCGTCGTAACGAAGTTTGTGGGCGGCCTCGTCAAGTTGTGGTTCCCTCCCTTGAGCTCCTTCAAGTCCTGGTCATCAATCAACCGCTTCTGCCACAGATGCTGGAAGAGTCCAAAGTCCGGCCGGCTCGTCTTTAGAGTCTGGCCAATCGACGTGTGCACTTGCGCGATATGTTCCATTCTCGCCTCCCACGCTATCCGGCCATCATGGTATGTCGCCTGGAAGTCGCACAGCGGGCACTGCACCGACCGCGGAGGGTCCTCGCCACGGAAGTGACTGAGACAGTGTTCCTTCCACTCCTCCTCGTCGTACGAGATGTATGAACAACTCAGGAACCAGAACGCGCATTCGTACAAGGGTTGTCGGTACTGATTCGGCCGTCGTTCGAGCAGGCCTTCAATGCCAATGACCGGCTCAAGCAGCGGTACGCCCGAGAACTGGCTCGCAAGCCCCGTGCTGATGGACGTCTCGGTGGGGGTAGCATCAGAGTAGTGGTAGAGCGAAGGTGGATGCGTGGACGCATTCGACTGGTGAAGGCAGGTCGGCGCCATGGACGACCCACTACGTATCGATCTTGGGTAGTTTGGGCTCGAAGGGGTCGTATTGTAAGAATTCGACGACAGCGCCGGGCCGTCGGCAGAAGCAGAAGAGGATGAAGAAGCAAAATGCACCAAGCGAGCGTGTATGTCTCTGGTGGGCGACTGCAGCCATTCGCCGAGTTGGGGCTGCGTGACGCTGTTCTCGAGTATCGACGCCAGCGAGATGCTGCTGGCGGGGTCCATGGCGGCGGGCATCATGGGTGTGGCGCATGCATCTGTTTCTCAGCCTCAGGCTCACATTATTCTTTGGGGTTTCGTTTGATTTGATTCGAGATAGAGAGGATTGCCTTGCAGAAAGGCTGCGGCGAATCGGTGTGGTGGGACTCACTAGTTGGCCGCGAGAGTGCGCGGTCTCGGGCGGTCGTTGTGGTGGATGTCGGTGGCGGCTTGCGGTGAGATTTCGTCTGGCGTCCGTGAGTTCGTTTCGTTTCGATTCGTTCCGTTCCGGCCGTCGAACGCGTTTCATCCCGTCCCGTCCATGTCTGCGAAAGACGTGTTTTTATAACCGCTACCTCGCCGACACCCACACTAGTTTGGCAAAGAATGTCGTGCGGCTCTGCGAAGATCAATCACCTTATTTGACACTCCCCTCACCTCTGCTGGACAAGTCCAAGATGACGGGATGCCGCCAGAATCCATCACACCATTGCCATTTCATGTCGAGAGGGTGTGTACACGGCCTGGCCGGCTTAGGCACGCGAAACGATTGGCCGTGCAACGGTGGAAACGAAGCTGTGGTGCATAAAAAGTCGGGATGCGGGGTGCTGGGACGCGCGCTACGACGCCAGGTCATCTACGCGACCCTTTTATCGAGGACTCGCCGACCGCTCTTGTGCGCAGGGCTGGCGGGTGTTTGTATGGCAATCTGTCGGTGTACTGGGACCATAAATGCAGATTGAGTGCGCTATGACACTGACGCTTAATCACATGCTCTTTTTATGGGCATGGCTTTCTACAAGCAGAATACGGTCGAGACGGGAACATGCCGCTTATGTCCAATTATGCGACGCAGGCTTAGCTCATGTTGTGATATCCGCCTGTGAGCGAGCGCCAAAAGTTAGCCGACAAGCTTGAGGTAGACACAGCAGCTACTTTCATCGATAAGACAAGAGTCTCAAGCCACAGGTTCTCTTCTCACGAACCGCCCGAGCCGAACAATGCACCGTTTGACGGTTCGAAGGGCGACTTCAAGCTAACACGCTGTGTAATCATCGTCGTCACACATCAAGCTCACCACAACGTTGTATGCAACGCAACTCTTCACAATGAGCGAATCACATATATGCACCCAACAAAGGTTTCGACTTCATTCTTTGGCACACCTTACCACCATAACCCCATCTTTAGAACTAGTCTCGCCAAAGACTCTACTTTCCCTACAAGCACTCACAGACACAGCCATGTGTTGGTTCAAGTTTGTCCAACCATCCACCACAACCCCCACGACCAAGGACGCTCCGGTTAGCATGAACAGCCCTGATCGGGACCCTGCCATTCGACGTCGCGCATCCAATTTGCAGGAGCCTGTTCTTGCCAAAACCAAATCATGGAATAAAGATGCGCAGCTGGCTCCCTACAACCATCGTCCCCGACGTATGCAAACCATAGATGAAGTTCTGCGCCCTGCAGCTTTAACGTCTAGCCTATCCCGTATAGATATGTTGGCGACCTCAAAGAGACAGGACGAAGATGCGACTGCGCGCGTCTGGCACTGGCTTGAGGATAGCGAATCATTTCTTCCTCTCGATGAGAATGGAATGGTGGTGCAGCAGCGTAGACGGCGGGAAGGATGAGGTTGGCTTTTGCAGTAGACGCACAGTATACTTAGATAGCGTCAATATCCCAGTTACCCTTCGCATAGTTTGGAAGAGGAGAAGGGTAGGATAAGTTCCGCTCCGGGATAGAGTTGCATCGTCGATGCACATGTGTCGCGAGATAATATCCGTCGTACAATCTTATAGATGCAGGTGCATGATTTCGCTTTTATCCCATTGAAAAATCAATACAAAGCCTACATATCGAATTTCGTAACCAACCTCGTTCGTCCTATCCCATCTCTTCTTACATCTGATCTGCGTTCGTCCCATGCCTACAAACATTAATCTTGCGAATTCTTACCCACCCAACATGCTTAACGGAGGAACAGAGAGCTACACTTCCACGCATAAATCCTTCCACAAGGAATAAATTCCCATACAAAGTAGCAAAAGAAGTGAACAATACCTTTTGCCATCCTAACCCAATATCTCAAAAAGCCCTGTCACACTTTGTTCCACAAAAATCCCCATCCGTTCAAACAGCAACCCTAGCTCAGCACTCATTACCACGTCATCACTCAGCCCCACATACCCCTCACAGCCCGCATTCCGCCCGCTCCAACACTCCATCCATTCCAACCCCTATATATATTTTCTAACCTGGAAATTCCCCATAAAAGTCTCCAGTAGGAAGGCAAATTTCAAAAACAGCCCGGTTGGCACAATTGGTTAGCGCGTGAGACTTTTAATCTCAAGGCTGTGGGTTCGGTACGTTTGCGCATCGTGGGTTCGAATCAGACTTCCATACTGACTGGTGATGTAGAGTCCCACATCGGGCGTTGTGATTTTCGGTTTTTTTTTTTAGTCAATTTTTTCTTCTTCGGTCTTCAAAAAAGCAGATTCGCCATATCATTTCAATCATGAGCTCTCAAAGTAAAGCAAGTAACACTTCTCTAGGTAATCCACTAGAGCCGTACACTACGCGCAGAATTGTGGCATCTCTTCGCATAGCCTGGGTCTAAAATAATGTTACCTAGCTCACAATGATTACAGTAGTCGAGCCCTGTTCAGCAGCAAGATTTTTGTGCGCTCTGGAATTTCATGGCAGAATCATCCACCAGCATCTCCTAGCAACGTGGAACAATCGTGTGAACAGTTCACGTGTATATACTATATGTAATCCGAAAGACTCTCCAAGAAGCACCACACCCATCCACCCTCGACGATGTGAGCTCCAGCCCCATCATTCAACCCCTACGCATACTCCCTTTTCAACACATCAACTCAAGGCAACACTACTCAATCAGTGTCCACACCAACCCGACCAGCCACCAGCGCAATCAACGCGGCACCAACCCCCGACCCGTCCTTCGCAATCCCAATCCGAACCTTCTTCTCGCCCTTCTCCCCGATCCCCTCAATCTCCCTGAGCGCTTCCCGGATATGGTCTTCAAAGTTGGGGTAGAACTCGACTAGCGAGCCGTCGACGCCGATATCGATGACGTCGTCGTCGTCGTCAGACTCTACGTCACCTCGCGGAGGGTCAACGCCTTCCTTCTTCTCGGTTGTCGCGGTGCACTTGGATGATTCCAGACGACCGGTGTTGATGACGATGGCGGAGATGGCAACGGCGGATAGACGGGCGGCACGCTTTCCAATTGCAGTGGCGATGGTGCGCACAGCTTCTGCATCTTCTGCGCTCACGGCGCTGATGCCGTAGTCCTTGTCGAGCGTCTGGCGCACCATTCTATATCCAGCGCTGTTGTCGCCAGCGCAGATACTCAAAAAGCTAGTGTCAATGCCCCACTGTTTCCATATGGGCGAGGAGTCGTGGATCTGTGTGGTGCTGTGGACGTCGTTGTGTGCTGAATTCTCGTCGCGGAAGAGGGGGAAGGCGGGGTCTTTGAGGAGACCGACAATGGCGAGACGAAGGATTTCCCCTAGGAACATGCCTGACACGCGCTTCTCGAACATTTGGATGCCGGGGTTCACTGACTTCTGGTCGAGTTCGACATCGTAGGGCGTATTGGGGAGTGTGCGGAGGGAGTTATCGAAGGAACCCCATTCGGTGTTGACGATCATCTCGCCGGTCGACTCGTCGTAGTCGCCGCTGTTCTGCTTCTGGTTGAGCTTGGTCACCTTGCTCAGCTTTTCTACATAGGCGCCGTTGGTTCCTGTGCCGAAGATGGCACCGAGAAGGGTGCCGGTCTTGCCAGGCGATGTGTAGGAGCGCGCCATCAGAGTCCCGACAGTGTCGTTAACCAATGCCGCTACTCGGACCGGTAGGTGGAGCTCGTCAATCTCCTTTTGCAAGAGAGCGCACACATCCTGGCCGACCGTTTCCTGGATATCAAATCCCTTTGTCCATCGCATGAGCACACCCTTGTTGATGCCAACCTGGTTCACGGGGAACGAGAAGGTGAAGCCCAGATTAAAGATTTCCTCCTCCTTGGTCAGGCCACCCGTCTGACGACGCTTGATGTGCCCCGCATAGTGATCCTCGTGGTGTGTCTTCAGGAACTCCTCGATCTGCTTCGCAAGGAAGGAGAACAGCTCTTTCGAGGTCTTTGCGACCATGAGCTCGCGCGGTATGGCGACCTTGCTCTGGGTGAGCGAGAAGGTGGTGTTGCCGTGCAATTGGATGGAGCAGACGCGGAAGTTGGTGCCGCCGAGGTCGACGGCCATGTAGAGGCCCTACAATGTGTCAGCTACGCCATTGAAGCGTGAGAGGGAAGTGTGGTGCGCGTACCTTTTCGGTGCCATTTGGGACGGCCGTGACGTAGGTCGGGATCTGGCTCAGTTCAGTCCCCTCCTTCTGCAGCCCCTCGTCTGCCCACAGTCAGCTCTGGCGCCCATGGCAGTGTTTGTGTGCTTCCAAGCGTACCCATCTCCCGTATAAACTCCTTGACGGCCTTGTTGACGGCATCGGTGCCAAAGTCGAACTCGGCGGCGACGCGCTTCGCCTGCTCGGCGAGGGCCATGCTGCGCTTGGTGACGGTGTTGAAGGTGCCCTTGACCTCGACTTTGGGGACAGGCTTGGGACAGACGGGCGGGTCTCTGGAGAAGAGCGACTCGCGGAGAGAGACTGGGGGCGTGTCTGAGTAGGTGACTTGTCTGGAGGAGCCAAAGCGTAGCAGGTCGGTCGGCAGGTGCGGGGCAAGAAGCTGAAGGGCCAGGACTAGCACGAGCACAAGGACACTCAGGACCTTCAGGTGGGGTGACAAAACGAAAACGGGCGCTCCTCGCGAACGACCACGACCATGACCACGATCTTGGGCTGCGGGAGGTTGACGCAGGGCGGCAGCCTCTTCCCTTGGACTGCCGCCGCGCTTCTCCGTGGTTGGGTGCGCATCGTCCAGCATAAGCATGGGCGTGGAGGTGGGAGGGCTGACGGGCGGATGAGATGGGATGGGATGGGAACAGAGGGCTGGATACGTTCGTCTACAGCTGCAAGCAGGCCCAGCGCGCGTCGGATGCCATTGATATTTGATAGTTGTACGCTGTCCTGCACGAGAAGTCTAGAAGGGCAATCGAGACGGACGGGAGGGAGCACTGACACGCATGCCCATCTGGAACATCGTGAGTGAGACGGAAATCCCCCATGATTCAGACAAGCATCAAGCCCTGGCACGCATCTCCCCCGCCCTCAGCTGCGAACGGCTACGTCGGCGGCTGGAATTTCCCCGGAATCTGGTCGAGAGCCTTCATGTCTCTCGAGTCAGTCGGCCCGCATGTCAGCACTTGACGTCTCTCTCCTGCGTTCAGAGAATGAACCCTCTGAATTCCTTCTATGTATATCCACTTCAGGATTGCGCTTGCTTGTTTCTGCCCTAGCCAACTACCACAGACGCTTCCCAGTCCAGTCCAGTCCAATCGCTTTTATCGTCACCAGTCTCTCCTTATAAATAGTACACGCGCCGTCTCATCAACCACGGCACGGAAGAACAACAACACATGCCAAAAGGCCCAAAAGACATGTGCTTCTATCAAACCCTAACTCGAGAACAAAAACAAAACCCACTGTGCAGCCCATGCAAAGAAAATGATTAGCGGGCGCCCAGTCTGAAAGAAACAAGACGTCGCCGTTACAACGTCTACTGTATGTACGATAAGACAAAAGAAAACCTGAAGGAAAGACCTTGCGCTAAGGTCAGTCTGTGTACGTGCAAAATACCTTCCCTGCACCCTTCTAATATTCCTCATTAATTACTCTCACCCTGAAGCTGCCCCTGTTGTTTCGTCAAGATCCCACCCCGACAAGCCGGAGGGCCATACCAAAAGCCCACGTCCGTTGTCAAGAGTCAAGACACTCTTGCCGTGGTGGACGCGTGCGCCAACTTCGGCCGTAAAACTGCGTATTCGTGTACCAGAGGAGAAGGATAGTAGGAAAGCAGCAGGTGATGTGGATAGTCGCCGTCAACAGCAATAAAGAAACCCAAGAAGACATGTCGGTGGCGGTGACCGCCCGCTTCAAATCGGTAGATGATTTCGTCAATGTGTCGCCGAATCGAAAACGGTGGTTGAATGCAATCCCCAAGATACTCCAAGTCGAATGCCGCAAATGCGATATGAAACAGATCTGTTTTACCGGACGCCGAGGGGGGGACGGGGCCCGAAGCTACTCTGGCTGGACGCAGCCGAGTTCTCCGAATCTAAGCGTGTGCTATCACCACTGCCCGCGCTAGCAGAAGCGCTTCCAGTCAGACTGCGTACTTGGGGTCTATTCTTGGGTGGGTAAAGGTTGCTCACCCCAGCATGTTGCTCAACTTGTTGTGGTGCCACCGCGTTGCCGTGTCCAGGAGGATGCCTTGGAACTGGCTGTCGCATCCCTGGAGGCGATGGGCGACCGTTCGGCTGTATGCCGTTGACGGGATAGCCATTTGGCGGCATACCGTTCATCGCATAGCCATTGGGCGGAGAAGGACGCCCTACAGGTCGAGGACCTGGACTTAGCGGATTGCCAGGCGATTGGCTAGTGCGACGGTTCATCGGAGGGTAAGCACCTCCCTGGAGCTCGTCGAGTCGTGCTGCAGTCAGTGAGTTGGCTCGCGACTGGGCGCCCATAGCGCCCCGGTCCACATCGCCATATCGGTTAGAAGAGTACCCCATCAGAGGGTTGTTCATAATCGAGTCGTGTAGACCGGGAACATCAGCCATCAGCCGCGTGCTAGTTCGATTCTTATTCGCACCTGGGCGGGAAAAGGGGTTTCTAGAACGGCCAGATGGAGGGCCTCCGCCGGCCATCTCAGGGTTCTTTCGAATCTGGCTGGCACTGGGGATTTTGCGGGTGCGACGAGAAGTTACACTCATCATGTCGAAGTTATCAGGGTCGATAGCTGGACCCGGTCCATGCGAAGCCATGGGATCAAAGTAGTCGCCCTCATCTTCATCTTCATCGAAGCCGCCCATGTGCGACGGAGGGGGAGGTGGGCCACGACGTTGTCCACGGCGCATGTGTAGTTCCTGTTCTCTTAGCTGAAGCTCTTTCTGTCGTATCATGAGCTCCCTCTCGCGGAGAGCCAGGTCGTTATTAGAGACGGATCCATTTTCATAATTGACGCCCCCGGAACCTCCATCGTCAACCATGTTGTCATAGAGCATCAAATGGCTAAACTCTTCCAGATCGTTTCCTTCAAACGAGGGTCTTCGCTGACCGTTGGGTCCTCCGTTCACAGGTCTTGGGGGATACCCGTTCATGGGTCCAGAGGGCGGACCACGGCGCATCATTGGAGGTGCTCCATTCATCGAAGGCGCTCGGCTTCCCGGGCGACCTCCCTTCAT